GGAGAAAGTTTTGAAAGCAGATACGAGCAAAAATTGAACATACACTTACGATTTTTGGCACGTTCTATAGACCTTTATGCTGTTGTAATGACAGCCATCTGTTCCGGTGAGTGTTGCTTCCACAGGGCGATGGTGGCTGGATTTTGAACACTTCATTGGAAGAGGGATCACGTTGTTACACGGACCTTACAAAGGACCTTTCTTGGGACTTTTTGGATATTGCACTTTTTTTTTTGGAGGTTGATTTATCACACTGTAGCTTTAGATACACTTTAATTTTAGGGGTGCTGCACTTTTATGCTTTTTGACTCTAGTTGTAGACATAAAATAATTTAAAAGTCCTCTACCGTCTATTCCCTCGGGCACACTACAAGGCAACCTTGCTTTTTTTTTTTTTTGAGTACACGCTTGATTGAAACATTTCAACTTTAGACGCCTCTCCAAGCTGAGTGGTGAGGTTTAGTAACATTAGTCAACTTCAACTTCTGTCTAGTCTCATCTCCAACAGAGACGGAGCTTGATCTCTGGTAAAAAAAAAAATATATAACCACACAATTACCCTTGTGCAACTTTGCACACAATACTTCCCTCCTTTCCTTTCCAACCAATCAGTGCAGCCTGCTTTATTGTTTCCATGCACTCATCTGTTTTTAGTGATCATGCGCACACCTGCTAGCTTTCAGTATTTCTGTGTGCTCCCATGCACTCCTACGAGCCTGGACCGTACTCCCAATGAACCTGTGATGTCTGCCCTGCAAGAGCCTCTTCCTGCTGCATACCTGTCTTGTCCTAGGTGAGCCAGGGGCCACAACCTGGGAACCATCAGCAGGGAAACCCATCACCCCTTGTGGGGGAGGATCCGAATAAAAAGAAAAGTTCCTTTAAAAGTCTCTCACCTCGCACCAGTGCCAGTGGGTATCCTGCCTCTCTACTTCTGATGCCTCTTTAGCCCCAGTTCACACTTCTATTGCAGTGCAGGAAACTTGTGATCCGTGCACGTATCCCAAATTCAAATACCCACTGCAGTCCGCAAGGGCAGCTCAGTCAGTGCAATGTTAACGACAACCTACTTACAGGTCGCAAACGCAGTGCATTTGCCTGCACCAGATTGCATAGTGCAAAAAAAAACGAACATGCGATCCAGTTGAAGTGCATTCCCGGTGGATATCCTGCCTCTCTACTTCTGATGCCTCTTTACCCCCAGTTCACACTTCTATTGAGTGCGGGAAACTTGTGATCCGTGCGCGTATCCCGAATGCAAATAGAGCTGCCCTTGAGGTCTGCAGTAGGTGTCAGTGCAAATGTTAAAGACAACCGAATTGCAGGTTGCAAACGCAGTGCATTTGCCTGCACCGAATTGCATGGTGCAAAAAACGACCATGCGATCCGGTTGAAGTGCATTCCCAAAATTGGTGCACACATAACTTTGGTGCAATTTGAGCCCACTGTTCAAATCACACCGCACTGAATCACATGTGAATTGCACAGGAATGCGGTGCGCATACCTGCGCGATTTACAGTGTGAACCTAAGCTTAAAGTGATGCTAAAAGCTAATTTTATTATGTTACTAAATATTTATAAAAGTGTTACTAAACCCACAAAAGTAAAATCAGTCTGTATATGCAGTAAAGCATGCTTGTTATACTCACTGTGGAACCTAAGGGGTTAATCCTCCGCAGCGTGTAAAAAGACTGTTTTCTTGTCTTTTCTGATCCTCCCGTTCCCCATTTCATCTGCTATTAGAACAGAGCCTTGGCGACACTCTGCACATGCTCAGTTTGGTGTGTATTGCTAGTTTTTTTTCTTTTTTTTGGGAGAGTGCATGTGATCAGCACAGAGCCAATGAGCACTGTCCAGACAGAGGTCAAGTTCTGCCCCTCCTCTTGTTCAGATGTCCACCTGATAAGACAGACTGAACTTATAGTCACATGCATATGTTCAGTTTCGTTTGTATTGCTAAAGAGTTTTTTTTTTTTGTTTTTTTGGGAGAGTGCATATGATCAGCACAGGGCCAATCAGCACTACCCAGAGGTCAGGGATTCGGCAGCCTCCTACAGCAGAAAGAAAACTCCTCCTACAAGCTTTAACATGTGGTCTGCTGAAGTCACAAGAATGCTCTATATTGCTGATGAGAAAAGGTATTTAGCAGTTTATATTTACTACAATAATTGCATTTCCATGTTCTGTGTACTGTGGGAGACCGGATATAGTGAATGCAGGGTCCGGGGAGAGCAGATATAGTGAATGCAGGGTCCGGTGAGAGCAGATATAGGGAATGCAGGGTCCGGGGAGAGCGGATATAGGGAAAGAAGGATCCGGGGAGAGCAGATATGGTGAATGCAGAGGGGAGAGCGGAATGGTGATCCGATGAAGTGAATGCAGGGTCTGGGGGAGAGCAGATATGGTGAATGCAGGTCCGGGGGAGAGCGGATATAGTGAATGCGGGTCCGGGGAGAGCGGATAGTGGATGCAGGGTCCGGGGAGAGTGGATATAGTGAATGCGGGGTCCGGGGAGAGCGGATATAGTGAATGCGGGGTCCGGGGAGAGAGGATATAGTGAATGGGGGGTGCTGGGGAGCGGATATAGTGAATGCAGGGTCCGGGGAGAGCAGATATAGTGAATGCGGGGTGCGGGAAGACCAGATATAGTGAATGCGGGGTCCGGGGAGAGCGGATATAGTGAATGCGGGGTCCGGGAGAATGGATATAGTGAATGCGGGGGGCAGGGAGAGCGGATATAGTGAATGCAGTGTCGGGGAAGAGCAGATATAGTGAATGCAGTGTGGGGAAGAGCAGATATAGTGAATGCGGGGGTCCGGGGAGAGCGGAAATAGTGAATGCGGGGTCCGGAGAAAGCAGATATAGGGAATGCAGGGTCCGGGGAGAGCGGATATAGGGAATGAAGGATCCCGGGAGACCGGATATAGTGAATGCAGGGTCCGGGGAGAGCGGATATAGGGAATGAAGGATCCGGGGAGAGCAGATATAGTGAATGCAGGGTCCATGGAGACCAGATATAGTGAATGCAGCGTCTGGGGAGATCAGATCTAGGAAAGGCAGGGTCTGGGGAGAGCGGATATAGGCAATGAAGGATCCGGGGAGAGCAGATATGGTGAATGCAGAGTCCAGGGAGAGCGGATATATTCAGAGTGCGGATATAGTGAATGCAGGGTCCGGGGAGAGCAGATATCGTGAGAGAGCGGATATAGTGAATGCAGGGTCCAAGGAGAGTTAATATAGTGAATGCGGGGTCCAGGGAGTGTGGATATAGTGAATGCAGGGTCCGGGGAGAGCGGATTTAGTGAATGCAGGGTCCGGGGAGAGCGGATTTAGTGAATGGGGGGGTCCAGGGAGAGCAGATATAGTGAATGCAGGGTCCGGGGAGAAAGGATATAGTGAATGCAGGGTCCAGGGAGAGCAGATATAGTGAATGCAGGGTGCGGGGAGACCAGATATAGTGAATGGAGGGTCCGGGGAGAGCGGATATTGCTAGTGAATGCTGGGATCCTGGCGATAGAGCAAAGTGATATTCGTGAATGCAGGCGCACCCCCCCGGGAGGAGCGGATATAGTCAATGGTGTCCTTGAGGGCTTCACCTGAGGACCATCTGGGACCAGAGTAGGATATAGGGAATGCGCAGGGTACCCTATCTGGTTAGTGAGCAGTCATATAGGGAATGACGGATCCTTTGGAGACACGGAACTTATAGTCACCATCACTATAATGCAGGGATTCCGAGGAGATCAGATATAGGAAACCAATTTAAGAAGGTCTGGGGAGATTTAAATCTGTTATTCATGCTAATTCCCTGATATAGGGAATGAAGGATCTGGGGAGAGCAGATCATGGCGAATGAAGATAAGTTCGGGGGGGAGAGCGGATATAGTGAAATCCGGGGCGGGATATAGTCCAGGGAGAGCGGATATAGTGAATGCGGGGTCCCCTGGAATTAGTAACACTTTCAGAAAAAATAACAAGCATGTCTATACTTACCTGCTGTATGCAGATGGAATTTTGGCACAGAGCAGCCCAGATGAAACCTAGTCTCCTCGGGGTCCTGGGTTTTAGTAACACTTCTCTGGTCCCCCGCAGGTTCTTCTGGCTCCCTTCCTGGTCCCCTGTTCCTGGCCCCTCCCTCCTGTCCAGTGCCCCCACAGCAAGCAGCTTGCTATTGGGGCACCCGCTACTTCGTGTCCATTCACACACAGAGGCGCAACCTGGCCCCGTCCCCTCTCTCTTCTCATTGACTCACTGGCTGTGATTGCCAGCAGTGAAAGCCAAGGGCTCCCGCTTCTGTCTCAGCCAATGAGAAGCTAGCCGAGACTCCAGTGCACATTGCTGGATCGAGAGGAGGCTTAGGTATTAGGGGGGCTGGGGAGGATGCAGTTTATTACCTTCATGCACAGGATACCTTGAGCCTTTACAACCACTTTAAAGCTCTCAATGGGCTACACCATTGGCTGCCCCAGCTGCTATAATCAAATCCTGGTCAGTCTGCCCACTTCTGTCCATACAGAGAATGCAGCGCATACAATTATCCCTGAGAGGGAAGTTGATACAATCATACCCAGACGGGGAGATTCAGATCCCCTACAAATGCATATCCACAATTTTTTTCAGTAAGCCTTCAGTAAGACACTGCTCACCATGTAGCCACAAAAAAAAAGCATCAGCAACAGCTTGTCTCCTCTGTTCCTGGAACCAACGATGGGAGTCCTGAGAACAGGCCGAAGCTGAATAACTTACCTGTACAGCTGGGTAATCAAGAGTGACACCGTAGAACCAGGAATGACACCCACCCTGAGCTCACCCAACATCTCCCACCCCACCAGCTTACAAAGCAGGCACTGCAAGCCAGGTTTTCACTTTCCGCTAGCCATATGGCGGATTCCAGAAAGTTAAAAGTCAATGAAATTGAATAAAATTTGTGCGCTCAAAATGAACAAATAAATGGTATCTTTATATTTCATCTAGGAGTCTTACTTTTGAATTCAAAACCTCAAACCATTTTATGCCTTAGGTGAACCCGCTGATGGCTGAAAAGATAAGCTCTCCTGCTGAAACACTTCCCGCACTCTGGACAGCAGAACTGCTTCTGACCCGCGTGGGTGGACTCATGGCTGACCAGAGCCCTCTTCACGGCAAACCGCTTCCCGCACTCCATACACGCGTAGGGCTTCTCCCCTGTGTGCTGTCGCTCATGTTCCACGAGGTGCGATTTCTGGGCGAAGCACCTCCCGCACAACGGGCATGAAAACGTATTTTCGTTGTTATGAATCCTCTGATGGCGGACGAGGGAGATCTTATGTCCAAAGCGCTTGTCACATTCGGAACAGGAGTAGGGCTTCTCCCATATGTGCATGAGCTGCCTGTGTCTGTCCAGGCTCGACTGTTTACTGAAACATTTCCCACACTCCAGACACAGAAACGCTTTGTCTTCCCCTTCAGGTACATGACGGGTATGAAGGGCGGGGAGCCTCCCCTTGTATGTAAAGGACTCACCGACACTTTGCCACCCCTGACGAAGATTGCAGGAAGTTGAGTTTACCACCGCGTAATCTGCTGCAGGATCATCTTTTATTGTATCATCTGGGGCAGAAAAAGGACGTTTCTTCTTTTGGTATCTCTTGTATCTTCGATCTGGAAGCAATTAGAGGGGAGAACAGGAACATTTAAAGTAGTAGTGAACCCTATATAAAGAATAATTTTGATAACTTACAGCAGGGGTTAAAATTTCAAGTCCAGACCTACTAGCCGGTCACAAAACTTGCTCTCCACCAGTTGCCCCACCCAACCTTGCCCAGGTCTGCCCCCAACCCCACCCACGCCCGCCCCCAACCACGCCCCCTTAAAGCTTATGAAATTACATTTTTCTTTAGAAGAGTCCAAAATATTAAACTGTACACAGTAATGTATATCCCAGCTCCCCTGTACTCCATTATAGTGATATGACATGTATACAGTATGTATATCCCCCCTCCCCTGTACTCCATTATAGTGATGTGACATGTATACAGTAATGTATATCCCAGCTCCCCTGTACTCCATTATAGTGATGTGACATGTACACAGTATGTATATCCCAGCTCCCCTGTACTCCATTATAGTGATGTGACATGTACACAGTATGTATATCCCAGCTCCTCTGTACTCCATTATAGTGATGTGACATGTACACAGTATGTATATCCCAGCTCCCCTGTACTCCATTATAGTGATGTGACATGTACACAGTATGTATATCCCAGCTCCCCTGTACTCCATTATAGTGATATGACATGTATACATTAATGTATATCCCCCCTCCCCTGTACTCCATTATAGTGATGTGACATGTATACCTATCCCAGCTCCCCACTCCATTATAGTGATGACATGTATACAGTAATGTATATCCCAGCTCCCCTGTACTCCATTATAGTGATGTGACATGACATGCATATCCCAGCTCCCCTGTACAGTGATGTGTACACAGTATGTATATCCCAGCTCCCCTGTACTCCATTATAGTGATGTGACATGTACACAGTATGCATATCCCAGCTCCCCTGTACTCCATTATAGTGATGTGACATGTATACAGTAATGTATATCCCCCCTCCCCTGTACTCCATTATAGTGATGTGACATGTATACAGTAATGTATATCCCAGCTCCCCTGTACTCCATTATAGTGATGTGACATGTATACAGTATGCATATCCCAGCTCCCCTGTACTCCATTATAGTGATGTGACATGTACACAGTAATGTATATCCAGCTCCCCTGTACTCCATTATAGTGATATGACATGTATACACAGTAATGTATATCCCAGCTCCCCTGTACTCCATTATAGTGATATGACATGTATACAGTAATGTATATCCCAGCTCCCCTGTACTCCATTATAGTGATGTGACATGTATACAGTATGTATATCCCAGCTCCCCTGTACTCCATTATAGTGATGTGACATGTATACAGTAATGTATATCCCAGCTCCCCTGTACTCCATTATAGTGATATGACATGTATACAGTACTTACTCCTAGTCCCTCCCGAGTCCCCCGCAGCGGTGGAGAGGGTGTATTTTCTCAGCGGAGCCGAAGAAGCCGGAAACCGGAAGTTGTAAACCGGAACTCGGCTTCACAATGAGGCTTGTTGCTTTAATTCCAGCCGTTAGTCTGTTGGGAGATGTCTCTACTAGGGGCGGACTGACAACTCATAGGGCCCCTGTGTCCTTCCCCAAACTCAAAAAAGTCTATGAAAAAGATACCAGGGGCATCTCATGGGGCCCCCTACTGACCCCGGGCCCTCAGGCAGTGCCCGAGTTTCCAAATGGTCAGTCCGCCCCTGGTCTCTACTCACTTTGCACATCTAGACTTTGCACAACTACTCAGGTTTAGTGACGTTTGATAGTGAGCATTTGTGGACGGCGGTCTTCAAGTCATTCCACAGATTTTCAATGGGGTTCAGGTCTGGGCTCTGACTAGGCCATGCAAGGACGTTCACCCTTTTTTCTCCTCCAATCACTGGGGGGGGGGCTCATCCTTGCCGTGTGCTTTGGCTCATTGTCATGTTGGAAGGCAAACCTTCTTCCCATTGACAACTTTCTGGCAGAGGGCAGCAGATTTTCCTCCAGAACGTGATGGGACTTTGTTCCCTTCTATCCCAAAAAGTGCTCCAGTCCCAGCTGTAGAAAAACCCCCATAACATTATATCACCCCCCACCCCATAACAGGATATTACCTCCCACCCCATAACAGGATATTACCCACCCCCCCCCCCCCATAACAGGATATTCCCCCCTCCATGCTTTACTGTAGGAATGGTGGAATTTGGACGGTGATCTGGATTGGATTTCCTCCAGACATATCGTTTATTGTTGAGGCCAAAGAATTCCATTTTAGTCTCATCTGACCAGAACACCTTTTTCCATGCAGCCTCAGAATCTTCAAGGTGCGTTTTGGCAAAGCTCAGTCATGACTGCATGTGGCCTTTCTTGAGGAGCGACTTTTTTCTTGCACCCCTCCCATACAAGCCACATTTGTGGAGGATTGGTGATATTGTTGTCACAATGATAACTCTCTGTCATCAGTATGGGCAGCACAGTGGCTAAAATGGTTAGCACTTCCGCCTGGCAGTACTAGGATCATTGGTTCGAATCCCAGCCACGGCACCTTTGCATGTTCTCCCTGTGCCTGCGTGGGTTTTCTCCGGGTACTCCGGTTTCCTCCGACACTCCAAAGACATGCTGGTAGGTGAATTGGATCCTGTCTAAATTGGCCTTTGTATATGAATGTGAGTTAGGGACCTTAGATTGTACACCCCTTGAGGGTTAGGGACTCATGTGAATGTACAATATATATGTAAAGTGCTGCGTAAATTGACAGTGCTATATAAGTACCTGAAATAAATAAATCAGTTCCTGACACGACCTCAGAGTTGCTGTAGGCCTCTTGGTAGCCCCTATGACCAGTTTTCCTCCTGGCTCCTTCATCCAGTTTGGACGTCCTGATCCATGGAGGGTCTATGTTGTACCAAATACCTTCCAATTCCTAATAGACTTCACTCTGCTTCTAGGTATTGGTAAAGCTTTTGAAAAGTTTTTGTATCCATCTCCTGACTTGTGTCTGTCCACAACTTTATCCCAGAGATCTTTTGACAGTGCCTTGCCACACATAGTTGGCTGTTTGCTTCAGTTGCAACCAGGGACTGAAATGTGCCAGGAAAGCTCTTTTCACGCTAAGCTAAATCAAAATGACCCCAGCTGATGACAGGTGAAAGTCAATGGCTTTGTGTGCTATTGAGAAGGTGATTAGCTACACCTGATTGAGTTTACAAGTCATTTTTAGGAAAGGGGGGTGATCCTTTTTTCCAACTCAGTGATTCGGTTTTTTATTTTTCTGACATGTTGGTGTTATATCTTTCACTTGGATATTATAAGTTGCACTGTGTAAATACAGCTGCATAAAACAAAAACTGTGTCTGCCTTCATTTCAGGCTGCAAAGCAACAGAATGTGATTTTAAAAGGGGGTGATTATTTTCTATACCCACTGTATAGCCCCTGAGAGAAGCACACACGTGGCTACAAAGGAACTCCATAGTGACCCCACAAGTGAACACAGCTACCATAAAGTGATTGTAAAGGATCTGTTTTTTTTTTTTTTTTGTTTTTTTAAATAACGAATTTTCGCAAAACCATTGCACAAGGCAGCCCCGATCCTCTTCTTCTGTGGTCTCTTGGATATATATATATATACACATACATATATATATATATCTCACACACATACATATATGTTACACACACACACACACACACATGGCCTCAGAGATTCTGCTCTCTCCTGGCTCTCATCCTACCTGTCACAACGCTCTTTCAGTGTTACCTATAATGCTACCACCTCCCTCACCCCCCCTCTCTGTTGGGGTCCCTCAAGGCTCCATCCTCGGGCCCCTTCTCTTCTCCATCTACACCTCCTCCCTTGGCCAACTCATACACTCTCACGGCTTCAACTACCACCTCTATGCCGACGACACACAAATCTATCTCTCAACCCCCCACCTCACCCACTCAGTTTCTGCCCGAATCACACACCTACTGAGCGACATATCAGACTGGATGTCGCTCCACTTCCTTAAACTGAACCTCTCCAAGACCGAGTTTCTTGTCTTCCCCCCAGCCCGGACCCCCCCACCCCCCATTGACTTCTCCATCATGTCCAACAACGCCAATATCAAACCCGCCCCGCAGGCCAGAGTACTTGGTGTCATTCTGGACTCCAACCTATCCTTCCAGCCCCAAGTCCACTCTTTAACAAACTCGTGCAGACTTCACCTCCGCAACATCGCCAAAATACGCACGTTCCTAACTCCAGAAACCACTAAACAGCTCATCCACTCCCTCATCCTATCACGACTCGACTACTGCAACTCCCTCCTCACTGGCCTGCCTCGCCGCTGGCTATCCCCGCTTCAGTCGATCCTGAATACGGCTGCCAGACTCATTCACCTTTCCAACCGCTCCATCTCCGCCACCCCCCTCTGCCAACCCCTCCACTGGCTTCCGATTGCGCAACGGATCAAATTCAAAATCCTAACACTGACGTACAAAGCCGTCCACCACACTGCCCCAAACTACATCACTGACCTAATATCCAAGTACCACCCAGCACGCACACTCCGCTCCTCACAAAACCTCCTCTCTAGTTCCCTGGTCTCCTCCTCCCATGCCTGCCTCCAGGACTTCTCCAGGGTGTCACCCATCCTCTGGAACTCCCTACCCCAACCCATCAGATTATCACCTACTCTCCTCTCCTTTAGGCGCACCCTGAAAACCCATCTCTTCAGGGAAGCCTACCCCAC